GGATCACACGCTCCCCTCCTCTCTACTTTGCCTGCTAACACCCAGTTATCCTTCAGGCAGGTCCTAAGGCTTCCCAGAGCTGCAGGTCCGGATGGGGGGCCCCGAGGTCTGCCTGCCTCAGAGCTCCCTGCTCCTCACTATGCTGTTGGTGTCTCCGTGTCCCTACCTGGGCTGGGAGTCTCAGGTGGAGGGGAGACCCTCTGCTGCTCCCACTGAATCCACAGTGCCCAGCCCAGTCTCACCACCCTGCATATCCCTGTGATGGATGGATGAACCCATACCATGAGTTAGTGGCTTAGCCAGAACCTAGGCCTCCCCCTAGGACAAGTGTTTAAACCCTTGGAGTAACATCCTTGGTCACTGCCCTCCCCACCCCTGAGTCTCTCCAGTTCTGGATTCCTTCTGCGACAAGCCTGCGGAGGGGAACCGCGGTGTGGCGGGGGAAGCGTCTGACAATACCCGCTCAGGTCCCCTGCTCTGGCCATGTTAGCTGTGTGGTCTTGCAGTAAATTGGAACTTGTAACAGCCCCTGCCTAAAGGTGGGTCGCTACTCTGTGTCTGGACAAGGGGAGCACTCAGGACCTGGGGGGCTAACTGGGGAGGGTGGGGCACACGTGAACTCCCCGTCTCCCCACTCAGGGTCTCAGGGCCCAGACAATGTCCTACTTTGTTCTCTCATCTGGATGGGACCCCCTTTCCCAGCCAGCGCAGCAATGCCTGGCCCATCCCAGGAGCCACCAGCCCAGGCACTCACTGACCCAGAAACCCGGTCACCTCACTCCCCACCACGCCCCAACACCGCCTGAGCTCAGGCCCACAGCCACACCCCCACGGCCATACGCCACGGTCCCCACATCTGCTCGTCAAGACTTTCACAGCTTCATGGACACGCCGGGAGTGGGAATGCGGGACAGTGACTCCAGACTCAGCCCACATGTGCACAGTCAGCCCAAACGGCGACTGCGGAGCGTCTCCCCAGGACACTGAGCCCAGCACCTTGGTGGAGGGTGTGCCCACTGCTCCACCTCCCTCGCTGGCTGACAGCTTCCCCAGGCAGCAAGAAACAGCCGGTGAAACTCTGTAGAGAGCTGCTGTAAAAATGCATCCACATTCAAAGGCTGTCCCCTTGGAGGCGGGGCTCACTCCAACAGTGCCCAGTGGTGAAGTGATTGAAACTTATGGAGTCCCTGTCCCTTCCCTGTGGGTCCCCCCCGCCCCCGCTCACCACAGGCCACGCTCTCGGCCATCTAGGTTGCCCCCGAGGATATTAGGCCTCAAGATGCTTGAGCTGCCCAAGTTCACACACATGCAGAGAGTGGTCGTGTTGCAGAGAATGGGGTGGGGGGGACCCTTGCTGCTCCCAGGATCAAGCCCAGCCTTCTCAGGGGGGCGGCAAGGCTCTCCTTCACCCAGCCCTGCCCACCACCTCACTTGTGTTGGCTCTGGAAAGCCCCTCCCCGCATTCCCTGCTCTCCACTCTTGAGCTCCTGGCCATCCCCTTACCTTCCACATTCTCTCTTGACCATGTCCCATTCAGCATATACATCTGCGATTAAAAAAAAGGACAAAGATTCTTGCCCTCATGAGCTTACACCCTGGCTGGGGAAACAGAGGTAGGGTGTTGAGTGGCAGAGAACAGAGCTGGAGGGGGCAGGACCAAGGAGAAGGGAAATGCCAGGGGCCAGTGGACAACCTCTGGCAGGCTTTGGGCACTAGCTTTATGAAGACGGGGAGATCCCAGTGAAGCTGGAGGTGGTAGGGAGGGAGCGATCGGGAAGCCCATTCCGGGAAGAGGGAAGAGCCGGGTCCTCTGAAGGGAGCACGCCTTTGGAGCATGTGTTGAGAAACAGCACGGACGGAGGCCGGTAGCTGAGGTGTTGCAGGGAGAGAGTGTAGGAGCTGGGTCCCGAAGCAGGATGGGGTGTTATGGGGATCTCCTGGGTCCCGGGAGGACGTTAGCACTTAAGGGAAATGGGGAGTCATTGCCCAGCATGAGTAGAGCAGGGACCTGGTGGGACGCCAGGCGCTGTGCTGGCTGACCAGCTGCTGCGTGGAGAAGAGATGACAGAGGCCCAGTGTTGGGGGTGCAGAGAGAATGAGGAAGAGCGGCTGCCATCACCCACCCTGGGAATGGCGGCTCGGACCAGCCATCATGGCAGCCCTGAAGGTGGTGAGAAGTGGTCAGATTCTAGATGTTTCCTCTCTCATTTTATTTTTTTTTAATGTGTGCATTTTACTAAGTGTTTTATAAATACATACAGAATCTAGTTTTATTTTGAAAGGAGTGCCAACAGATTGGATGTGGGATGTGAGATATGAGAGAAAGAATTTGACATGCAGATTTTTGCCCTGGGTGGGGGAGGGCAAAGATGGAGGAGGTCCCCCACCCAGCGGAGAAGGGGAGAGGCAGGTGGCAGAGGCTCTCGTGTGCGTGCATATTGAATTACCTTCCTTCCCTCTACGGGGAAGCTCTGCACACCCCGCTGGGCCACCCCGAGAGCCCACTTTGTGTTTTGGCCCCCAGGTGAGATGTCAGACCCTCAGCATTCCTCTGGGAAGCCTGGCCTGGCCCTCCTAGATGCAGTCATTGCTCCCCATGCGGACCCCATTCCAGCATATTCTGCAGCCTGCTTTGTGGTTGCCTGTGGACTTGTGTCCCCTGATCTGAGAGCCACTTGGAGTCTGATGCCTCCTTGTTTCTCTGCTCTTAGCACAGGGCCTGGTTTGGAGCAGCCCTGGGAGTGCACCTGTGGGTAGGGGAAAGGCTGTCCTTCCAGGAGAGCAGGCTTTCCCAGGGAAAGTCAACGACATCCCTCTGCAGTCCCATGTCTCAGACCTGAGCAAGGTGGCCTGGATCTCTCATTGGAACCTCTGTCCCCCATGCAGAGTGCAGTCCTGGCCTGCCTCTTCCTTGGTGGCAGATGGCCCAATATGTCCAGAGCCCTGAGCTGGCCTCTGCTGTGGTCCGAACCCTGCTGGGAGCCGAGGTGCCTGGCTGGGACCCGGCATCACCAGGCCCGCACCCGCCTCTCTGCAACCGCCTACCGCGTACCATCGCCAATAGATACTCATTGACCTCAAGCTCCTTTTCTGTGCTTGTAATGACTAGAGCATGTGGGTAGGGGAGGAGAGAAGGAAGGGGAGGAAGGGCGGGCAGGTGAATTTGCCGCTTGATTTTGCCGGCTGAACGAGGCAGAGCACAGAGCGCCAGCTCCCAGACCCTCTGCCGACCACCCCTGGCTTCCCTACTGTCTTCACATCAGGGAAGCATCACTCAATCTAGATTCTAAGCGTCTGAACTTGAACTTCTAAAGGATGCTATGGCTCTTGAAGTTCTCCCCAGGATATTGAGCCCTGATTTTGTTTGTTTTCTCAAAAATCTCAGAATCCTTACTGCCCAGCACTGGTGGGGGTGCCTGATGCTCAGTGGGGGCTCACTAAATGTTTGTTGGATGACTGTGTGATCACAGCCCCTTACGTGTTCTCCCTTATTATAGGAGCATGGCCTTCCTCCTCCCAGACCTCAAGGTATGGGTCAGAGGCCACGTCTGTAATATTCTCTGGCCTCCAAGGGCAGCACAGTGCTGAGAACCTGGAGTCTCCAGGAACAAAGACCCGTTATATCGGTGAGCTATCTTGTGTAACAGACCACACCACACCTTAGTGACTTGAAATGGCAGCCTCTATGCAGCTCACAATTCTGCAATTGGCAACTTAGCCTGGGCTCAGCCGGAAAGTTTTCTTTGGTCCCAGAGAGCTTCTCTTGTGGGTCATGATCAACAATGAATGGGTTCTGCTGACCTTTGCCAAGAGTTCTTATGTGTCCAATGTCTGAGTGGACACAGCGGGGCTAATGGACTTTGGCTCCCACCTGCCATTGGGCCAGCCCAGGCTTCTTCTTGGCGGAGCCTGGCATCCTGAGAGAGTAGAGTACCAGGTCTCCTTGACCCAGGCTCGGGAACTGGCAGACCATCCTTAGGTTCCACTACATTCTACTGACCAAAGTAACTCACAGGGCCGGCACGGAGTTCAGCTTCAACCACTGGGAAAAATAAACTCTACTTCTTGATGTGCAAAGCTGAGCATTCCTTCACGAGAGGCAAGGATGCAGTGAGGTTAAGGACAATTGTGGCCAACTGTGCATTTTGCCATGCCAGCGGGGGCATTAAAAAGAACAGAATCGGGTGCCTGGGTGGCTCAGTGGTTAAAGCCTCTGCCTTCAGCTCAGGTCATGATCTCAGGGTCCTGGGATCGAGTCCCGCATCAGGCTCTCTGCTCAGCAGGGAGCCTGCCTCCTCCTGTCTCTCTCTGCCTGCCTCTCTGCCTACTTGTGATCTGTCTGTCAAATTAAAAAAAAAAATCTTTAAAAAGAACAGAATCTGCTCAGCTCAGGTCACCTTGGTGTTCATTAGACTCTAAGTCTGATAGCACTAGGAGCTTCTGAATTTGGATAGAAATTTTGGGTCCCTCTGATGCCCCCTTCCAGGTCCTTTCTCCATCTCTGTGACATTTTCCTGGCTATGACACCCATGTGGCAATGGTGGGTGTGGATATCCTCATGCTCTGTCTCCGGAGAGATGGAAATGGCATTAATCTTTCCTACCTGAGGGATCTGGGAGAGCAGAACCAGAACAGAGGAGAAACAAAGTCCAAGTGCAGCTCTCAGATCTTTGGCTATGTGCCAAGACTGTGTTTTGCAAGATCCCTGCTCTTCCCACACCTGGATGTGGGTTGCGTGACCCCTTCCCAAGTCCACCCTGCATCCTGATTTGGGGATCAGGGTGGAGGGAGAACTTAGGGTAGATCCTGCATCCTCTTCCCCTTCTAGAAATTCCTGGGTTGGGGTTCAGAATATCTCTCTATCCTACCACCAGCTGATTGCTTCTGAGCACATACGACTATCGGAAAGTATTAATTATTTGTGTCTACATGTAGGGGCTCCCTCCATAGCATGCCAGGGTTTTATCTTTTCCGTTGCTGAGCAGCTGCCCTCTGGGGTCGAGTGACAAAGGAGTACCCTAGGCCATGTGCCGAAGGGTGACTGCGGAACTAGAGCCTCTTGGGGATGGCATGAGAAGGCTTCAGGAAGGACAGGTGACCTTGGATCCCATGCTGACCGATAAGGGGGCCCGTGGCTGCCTAGCACTGGAGCTTATGCCTGCCACAGCGGGGCCGGCTGGAGAAGAACGGCTTGAAGTTTTTCTCGTAGGTGGGCAGGCTCTCTCGGAAGCAGTAGGCAGACTGCCTGTCACACTCACATGCCCGCAGCCCACAGAGGCAGCTGACGCTGGGGTCGAGGGCACATTGACCTGCAGAGAGAGAAGGGGTCACTGGGGGCTCCACTTGGTTCTAAGGTCTGGGAAAATGGGGGCTTGCTGCAAGGGGTCAAGGGTTGGAAACAGAAAGGGAGGAAATTGGGAGTCTGCCTTCTGGGTCCCTGGTCACATCTGGACATGCCACAAGGACTGGAGTGAAGAGAAGCCTGGAAGGAAACGGGGAGGGGAGGCTGGGCTGCACATGGGGGTGCCCTGAGTGGGCACACTGACCAAGGACACGGGACCCACTTTCTCAGAACTCACTTCATATAACCAGCTGCTTGCTTGACATCTCGCTGGGATGTCTCAGGCATCTCCAGCTTAAGGCATTCAGAAGGGAACATTCAATGTAGTGCTCCCTCTGCCCACCAACCTGTCCTTCACCCACGCTCGCGGCTCGAAAAGGGCACTGCCTCCTACTCGAACCTGAAAGTGAGCAGCAGCCTGGGTTCCTCCCTTCCTTCCACTTTGCACATCCAGTCCACAGCAAACGCCACCGATTTCTCTGTTTAGAGTACTTCACGCTCTGCCCTCTTCTCTCCACCTTTCTGGCCACTCCTGCATTCCCGGGCCCCACCAGCTCTTCCTCCCTAACAGGAGGAAATGAACAGGGACTTTCTTAGACTGTCACCCCCATCAGGTCCACTCTCCTGCTTCAAGCCCCAGTGCAGTTTCCTAGTACTGCGGGAAGACATCCAAATCCTCACCAGGGACCAGAGAGCAGCCTTGCTGTGATCTGGCCCTTGCAAACCTCTCCTTCCCCACTGTCCTTTGCTCTGCTCTGGGAACATTGTCCTGTCACATGCTTGGCTCCCTCTTGTACCAGGGCCTTTATTCTCGCCATTCTAAAGCACTTCTCTCCAGGATCTTCAAGTGACTGGATCCTTCCCCTCCTTTGGGTTGTGGTCAGATTTCCTCTCTTCAGAGAGACCCTCCCGGGCCCCCGACCTAAAGCACCATCCAGCAGCCCCTCTCCCGTCTATCTCATTCACTGTGTTTTGCACAACCCATGCATTTCTTATGCATTTGCTTGCATGTGTCTGTCTCCTCTCAACAGAGTGTGAGCTCTGCGAGGCCAGGGTTTTGTCTGTCTTGTCCATCACAGCATCCCCAGCGTGCAGAACAGATGGTAGCGCATAGTGGGTGCTCATCCGAGGGTCGCAGATAAATGAATGCAGCCAGCCTCTCTCTGGGCCTTTGGGGTTGAGTGTCTGCCCTTTGGCCAAGTCACCACTAGATGGAGATCTTTTATTTAGTTGCCAGAGCTGCAGGGCTCTGCGTGTGTGTGTGTGTGTGTGTGTGTGTGTGTGTGTGTGTTCCGCTCTCTTCTGAGGGTTGGGGCTGAGGAAGGGAGGCAGCCAGACTCACCAGTTTGTTGATCATGGGCAAGTTAGCTGCAGCATCCACATTTACAAAATGATGATGAGAACTGTAAGTGTCAAAAATAAATAATGGTGTCTGCGGTGTAGTCTCGTTGTGAGGGTTTTGGCCGCCGGGTATGGAGGGAGCAGTTTGCACGTGGCAGGCACACCCACCGTGCTCCGTAAGTGCTGACGGTGATGACGAGGGTGATGCTTCTGGGAAGAAGAGGAGCCCTTCGAAGTTGGTCCCAGTGCCGGCCGTCCTCCGTTCGTTTGCCTTTCTCCCTCTGAAGTCCAACTCCAGCAGCAAGCTGTCCTCCCACACCTCCCCAGAGACTTCGTTTCTCAAGATGCGTCGACAGCCATCCTACACTCCAGCTGTGCCCTCCGTGTGCCCTCCTGGAGTGTGCCAGGGATGTTCCCGCCCCTGGCTCTTGGCTCCTGCCACTCCCACTGCTCCCGACACCTGGGTCATCTTTGCCCTCGCACTCCTTCTTTCCATCTGAGAAAATCCTTCAGGATTCATCAAGCCTCAGCTCCCCCCAAGAAGCCCCGCTCAAGTCCCTGTCCCCTCTGGGTCTCTGATCTCCCTCGCACCCAGCACACCCCTTGCTTCCTGCCGTGGTCTGAAGGGGCCCACTTGGACTCGTGGCTTGTGTCCTCAGGGGGCTACTTGGATGCAGGGCACTGCCCCCCTTCAACCATGCTCTCTTCGGGAAAGGGCCTGCCACTCGTCCAGGCCACTGTCACTCATCCAGGCCACTGTCACTCTGCTTCGGTCCCCTCCTCTTTCTTGTCCTCTTTCTGGTTACCTCTGTCTTCTATTTCTCTCTTCCTCTTTCCCATCTCTACTGTCCTTTGTCCTTTCTCTTGCTTTGCTGTCCCTTTCTGGCTTTGTCTGTCCCTTTCATACACACAGATTCTGACCCTCTCCTGACACACAGTGTGACCTCTGAACACCTCATCTGGGCCCCAGGCGCACTGGAACTGATCTTGAGCCGGAGCCAAAGGCTGTGGGCTATCATTTCCGGGGCATCCCATAGCCGTGGCCGGGCCAGGCCCCTCAAGACCTGGAAGGAGAGGAAGCCTGGGCCGAGAAATGTCCTCCTTGCGTGCCAGCTCTTCCCAACCAGCCCGAATCCAGTTCCTGCATCTTTCGGTTTGCTAGTAGAGATGCCAAGACAGGAACTGAGGCTTGAAGAAAGGACCTGAAGGCTTCAGGGATGTTTCTCTCAGTCCGTGGAGTAGACTTCCACAATGGGACGAAGCAGAACGCTGTACAGGAATGTTTGCCACAGAGAACTCGGGCTGCTGACGGGCCTCCACCTGCCTGTGTCCCAGGCCTCTACCCTGCTCTCTAAATTCTCTCCCTGGGCCTCTGGTTTGGTCTCAGGGAGTTAAATGCCATCTGAGGGATGCTTGCTTGGCTCAGTCGGTCCCGTGTCTGCCTTTAGCTCCAGTCATGATCCCAGGGTCCTGGGATTGAGTCCTGCATCGGGCTCCTTGCTCAGTGGGAAGCCTGCTTCTCCCTCTACCTCTCCCCCTGCTTGTGCTCTCTCTCTCTCTCTCTCTCTCAAATAAATAAAATCTATTTATAAAAGAAAAATAAATGCCATCCGAACGCCCATGACTCTTGGGTTCTTGCCCCAGCCAGGTGTCTCCCCTGAGGTCTAGACTCCCGTATGCTCCTGGACACTTGACTTCCCCATCGGGTGTCTGATATGCATCTGAAACTCAGAAAGTCTCATGCCAAGTGCTTGCTGGGTCTCCGTAGCCTGTTCTTCCCCATCTGCACAAGCTCAGACAACACCTTCCGCACAGCCACTGGGGCCAGGAACCTTGGATTCTTTGGGTCTTTTTCCTCCCCACTCTGCATCTTCTGCATCAGCAACCCCTGACAATCGACCTACAAAACACCCGGCATCCAACACTTCTCTCCTTCTCCACTCCACACCCCGTGGAAGCTTCTCCCAGTGCTCACTAAAGGCTCCTCATTTTTCCTCCCCGGCTCCCCAACCACCATGGACAGTGGCCAGAGTGATCTTTCTAAAGCAAGAGTAGACCGTATCCTGCAGCAAACGCTCTGGCAGCTTCCCCTGCAACAGAAGGAGAAGACACCCTCCTCACCTGTCCACCCAGCCCTGCGGACCCTTTCCCTGTGCGACACCAGCCACCGCAGCCCCGATGCCCATGGCCTCTGCTCCTGCCACACTGGCTAAATGCTGCTTCCTTCAAGGGCTTCTTCGGCCCCCTGAAGTAGCTGTCCTTCCCTCTCCCTGTCGTCATTGTTCTGTATCCTGTTGCTTTGTTGGAACACTTCATTTCTCAATATTTGGGAATACTGACTTGTTCCCTGGAGGCAAGCTCCCTGGGCAGGGAGTGTGTCTTCTTATTACATATCTTCTGCCCTAAACATCCAGGGAGCACTCCGTCCCTGGGTGCTGCTGCCCCACGGGCTGGAGGTTCACCCTCTGTGTGGCAGCAAAAGACCCCCATCCCAGGCAACGGGAAGCAGTGTTCTCCATTCAGACCCATTGCCTGCATGCTTTAGGATTTCAGGCAAGTTGCTTGTCCCCAAGCCTGTTTCCTCGGCTTTCAAATCGGGAAACAGACATTAGCATTGACTATTTTATGAGTTCATTCATTCACTCATCAAACAGGTATTGAGTTCAGAACATGTGCCTGGCCTTTGGCTAGGCACTGGAGGTACAGGTCTGAGCCCGCAGACCCCACTTTGCATAGCTCTCAGGGTGTCCTTCTTTGTGGGTTCTAACGAGGACGAGTGCCCCCCCCCCACAAGACCAGGCTTTTTCCTTGCCCTCCCGGAACTCACATTCTGGTTGGCAGGAGAGCGGATGCATAAACAAACAAAGCAATTTCAGGTAGAGACAAATGTGAGGAGAAAAAAAAGGGTGATGTGTCAGCGGGTGAGGTGTTGTGAGGGATACATCCAGTAATGAAAGAAGAAGAGCTTTGCACACCACAAATTCCAGTGGTTGCCATGTTCACCTTCCCTCGTCGGTGGAGGGAGAAGTCAGAGGCTGTCAGACACGGAGGTGGAAGAGGGACCAGGGCTGGAACCTGGTCTCTGCCTCCCATGGCCCCTTGCACAACGCATACATGGCTGTGTGGGTGGAGGGGGTGGGTGTCTCTGCTGGCTAATCTTAAAGTCCCTTGCAAATGCCAAGAACTTACATAAGTCCACTCAGAGGAGGGATAACAACCTCCCAGGTACCCCGGTTGCTCGAGGGCAGCCGTCCCTACCTGGCAAATTGGCCCCAGGGCTTGGGTTATAGGCCTTTCTTTGACTGATCTCCCAGTGACATTTAAAGACATGGACAGGCCAAGTTGTTTTTCTCCTTTCCCTTCCCTGCTCACTAACTGCATCCCGGATCAGCTGCAGGTTGCTAGGCAACCTGGGGCCAGGCTCTGGGTAGGGATTTCAGAACTTGGAGGTTGCGGGTTGGTGGTGGGGAGAGGCAGTTAACCCTTATGGGGCTGCACTTTGAACCGCAGTGTAACTGAGGTGGGAAGAGCTTTTCTTCTCTAGGGAGTTAATGACGTTAGCTTGAGGGGATACAGGGGCAAAGGAGAGGCTTCCGAGAAATCTAACAGTCATGAAGAAAATCCCAGTGCTATTCTGCAAAAGTAAAGGGGAAAAGAAAACTTAGGGGCAAAAAGAAGTCCCGGCTTCTAAAAGGAAAATCATTGCCTAAGCACCTGTTATGGGCCAGACCCTGTAGTGCGGTTATTTTAGCAACTTTATGAAGTGCAGAGTATTAGCCCCATTTTAAAGATGGGGATACTAAGGCCCAGGATAGTCATTCAATTATCTGGCTAGAAGTGGTGGAGCTGGGATTCAGACCCAGCTCTAAGCCTGACTCCCAAGTCTGTGCTCTCTCTGGACCTCTTAACAGGGAACAGAAAGCTAGAACAGAAAGATCTGGGGCATCACAGGAGCCGAATTCATCTGCCTTTCTCTGTCTGCTGGGCCAGTGCTGCGCATTCTGATGAGGATGTTGCCAACAAGGAGGGCAAGTCCAATAAGACTTGCAATTGTGGGAGCCCTCCAACCAAGCGCACCCCCCCAACACCCTCTAAGCAGCCCCATGCCATGGGGAGTGGGGTGCAGTGCGAGGCAGGAGCACCAGCTCTGGGACCAGACAACCTGGGTCTGACTCAGGACTCTTTTCCTGGCTGTGTGACTGTGGCCATCTCAGCTAACTTCTCTGAGCCTCAGGGTCCTTCTTGATAACCACATTCACCTCAAAGGAGGATCCCAGGGATTAGGGTGCTCTGTGTAAAGCACCTATCACAGATGCTCACAGACCGCTGCTGTCACTAATACACCTGTTTTGTGGATTAAAAAAACTGAGGCCCAGAAAACTCATGACAAGCACTGCGTTCCAGAGCATTGGAAAAGCTAAAGACACATGTGTTTTAGTCTTGCCTGTTAATCAGATCAAACGCTTACGCTCTCTGAGCCTGTCTCCCTGTCCCTATAATGAGAGGTTGGTCTAAAGGGATCCCAAGGGTGCTTTCGGCTCTGGAGAATGCCAGGAGAACAGGACCTGAGTCTGCCTTGCTCTGAGTCCCAGCCCCTACACAGCACTGGCTCTGGATGGGCACCCAGTAGGCGCTCAGGCAATACTGGACAAGTAAATGAATGTGCTTGGGTCTGGTTTGTGGGCTCAGCAGGTACCAGCAGCAGACCCACGATCAGAACTCAGATCACCAGCTCCTGGCCCTCCTCCTGGGAGTTGGGGCTTGGCAAGGTCAGGTGGGGAGGACAGGGGGTTGGCCTGGTACTCACTGTCTGGGAAGCACCTGCCCCCTCCCCATGCTAACGCCCTTAGCAGGGTGCCTGACTCCAGGAGGTCTTCTCAAGCTTTAGGGGCAACTGGCTGCCTGGCAGGATCTGTGGGAAACACAGCCCAGGCTGCAAACTTTCCCCACCAGCTCCCAGCTCGGCCCTGCACCTCCCACCACCACCCAGCAGGTGCCAAGCAGAGGATGCTTCTGTGTGCCACTTTGGTGGGGGGAGGGGAGGGGTCCATCTTGTCACTCAGATCACTGTCTTCCCCAACTCCTGGGGTCCCAGGCTGTGGCTCTGGCCCTACATGGGAGAGGGAGGATAACTGCTAAAGAAGCTGCACACACACACAAAAAAAAAAAAAAAAAAAAGAAAAGAAAAGAAAGAAAGAAAGAAAAGAACAGAAAAGAAAAGCTGCTCCAGGTGCAGAGGGCAGAGGCTGGCCCCAAACCTGGGACCACAATGTGGGCAGGTGCTCCGCACCGGCTGAAATTCTACTTCCCTTCTCAGATCACCTTTTCCCTTCTTCCTCAGTCCCCACACTTCATGGGGGCACCAGAGGACAGAGCTCCTTGAGGATATTTTCTCTAAAAGTGGTAACTTTTCAGGCACTTTAAGGTAACACTTGACATGACAGATGTTGTGACCAAGAGGAAAAGCAACGAGAAGAAACCATATGGAAGTGAGACCACGAGCCAGGCTGAGAAGACTGCGCCTGCTCCAGCCAATCGCCAGGCTTGACCCCATGACTCCTGCCAAGGGTGGGGGTGGGGAAGAAGGGTGGGAAGAGGCAGCCAGAAACTTGGTCCCTGCCTCTGAGGGCATCATGTGTCAAAGTAAGCAATACTTCGGGGGCAACTTCCTCCAGCCCTCTTCCCTTGCCCACCCACCAGGCCCTGACCCCATCCCAGCCCCTGAGCATGGTCTGCAGGATCTCCCAGGAGACACACAGCTTTAGGTATGAGCACCGTCATGGCCAGAGAGCTCCAGCACAGAAGTCTCTTTGAACTCACGTGGGAAATGGAGGTTTTCCTCATTGACAGTGTGGCTGGGGGCTGAGGGCTGTGGAGGTTGAGAAGTAGACCATCTGTCCTCCCATTGTGGGGCTCTGAGACCCCAGCCTCATCCCCCACCCCCGCCCGGCTCAGGTCTCACCACTGGGTCAGGGACACCGGATAGTCCTAATGCTTGGTCCGTCTTGGTATGTCCTGAGGGAGGGCTCCAGGGTTGGGGGGAGCTGGGAAGCCCTAGGGTTTGGGCACTGAGCACCCATTCTAAGGTGGGGGGAATGAAAGGAAGGGAGGTGGCTGTTCCCTGACCTTGGGGTGCAGGTGAATTCCGACACACTCACAGCTGAGCACAAATACACGTAAGGAGGAAAGTGGTTTGTGCAACTCCGCAAGGCCAGGTGGGAGGCCAGTTGTCTGAAGGGACACTCAAATCACTGGCTCCCCTGGAATGAATGACATTTATGAGAAAGTTACAGCCAGGGACTTCGAATGTACTTGCTCTTTAGACCAAACTTTCCCTAGACACACACCCCAGGAGCCCCCAAACACGCTCCGGAATAGTGGAGGCCACTCCCCACCTGCTGGACACTCAGTGCTTGCCCACCCTTGTTCTTTGCTCTCCTCCTTGAATGGCCTTGATGACACATGAGTTCCCTTCCCCGACCCCTCCTATTTACTTTTGTGTCCCCCGCCTCTAGCCGCCCCTGACAGCACCTACCAGGGCTTGGCATGTCCTCGCCCTTAACAAATATTTATTCAACTGAAAGACAGCTAAGCTGCTTTGTTAACACATGACAGACAGAGGAATGTTCTGGACAGCAACAGTTGCCAAGCAAAGCTGCAAGATTCAATGTAATCTCAAGTCAACAACTACTTATCGAACAGGTGCTATACCCCAGGCTCCCGGAAGGTGCTGGAGATGCAGCCATGGACAGGAGAGGCCAGAGACCAAGCAAGCACTCCCAAGAAGCTCCGATTCCTAGAACTGTCCATCTTCATCTCAAAACGCTCCTCTACCAGGAGGCAGGCATTAAGGAGGCGCCCAAGTTCAAAGTTATGTCCCCGCAGAGAGGGCTACTCACAGGCCACGGTCCCGTTGGCGATGTGGAATTCGTAGCTGTTCAGCACGGGCTGGCAACCAAACTGCTTTAGCTTCCCGTAGCAGCAATCATGCGCCAGGCAGCATCTGGGGGCCAGACCAGAGCAGGTGATGGGGGAGGTCCTCAGGGTATCGGGGAGGGGGTACAGAGGGGCAGGGGGAGCCGTGGGCAGACCCTGGAAAGGACGCCCCTGCCTCTTCCCCAGAGCGAGAAAGCATTGATGACAAGGAGGTAAATTCCTGAAAATATTAACAATATAAACATTACCCCTCACATTTCGTGAGCCCTTTCTAGTACCTTCTGCTATCTCATTAGTTTCTCCATGTAACCCTGTGAAGTGTGATTGTTGTCCCTATTTTTGTAGGGGAGGAGATGAGCTCCCAAGGGGGGAATTTCCTTAAATGATACAGCTGGAAAATCACACACACACACACACACACACACACACACACACACGGCTCAAACCTAGGTCCATGTGACTCGGTCATTCACATAATGAATTTTTCCTGAGCACCTACCATGTGCCAAGCACTGTGACAGCCTCTGAGAAGACAGGGCTCACCAAAACACCCAAAGCACCATGTTCTCATGGTGCTCAGAGTGGCCCGGGGCGGAAAGGGAGAACATGAAGAAGAGAAAGCAGCTGGGGCAGGACCGGGGACTGGATTCTAAGACACAGAAAAGCAAATGCTCTGGGCCAGATGCTTCCGTCCTTCCTGTCACCAACCCTACCTGGGAGTGGGCTCTTTGCTCTTTGTCATCTTTGTCTCATGGCATTAAAATTGTCATCAGCCTTTGGGCTTGGAAGGGGAGGGACAGAGGGTCAAAGAGTCCGGATTTGGAAACAGGCAAATCCTTATTCAAATCCTGACTTGGCCACTCAGGGGCTGGTGTGTCTTTAGGCTTTGCCATGGTGGTTTAGGGGGTCCTCGTGGCTGCTGCCTGTCACCTAGGGATGGGACCACTGCCTTGGCCACCGGATATGTAAGGGTTAAGTTAGGTCCCATGTGCCAATCACCGATCCCAGTGCTCGGCACATGATGGAGGTTCCATCTGTGTCTGTCCCCCTGTAGTGCTCTGGGATTCCTCTGGGTGGAATATTCCAGGCTCTCCGAAGCCCAGCCCCCAGGAATCAAGCTCCAGGCATGACATTTCGGGTCCCACTGCAAGAACATATTTACGCACAGGAGCTTAAAAGTGGTGAGAAACATCTTATTTCTCCACATGAATGATGTACAAGCTTTCCTGTTTCCTCCCTCCCCATGCCCTCGCCAGGTTACGCCAACCTCCACTTCTTCTCAGGACTCACACTCCCCACCCCACGCTCAAGAGTAGGCCTGGCAGCCACGCTGGGCCATGTGGCCTTGCCCAGATGGACAACTTTTCCAAACTGGGCCACTGGGATTCTCTCTCCCGGAATGTGGAATTAGGCCCAGGAGACAGCAGGGCGGCCTTGCCGTGGTCTAATCCTAAAAACTGGGTTGCTGAGCGAAGATCACGTTTGCCATGACGTTTGAGAACTGAAGACGTTTCTCAAGCTCTGAATTGGACTGACTGGATGATTCTCAAGGCCTGATGCAGCACAAGAACTCGGGGCACGTCGTCTGGACACAAGGATTTCAAGATGGTGGCTGCGGGACTGCAAATGGGCTTCTGTCTCTCGCAGTGTGAGAGTCCTAACACCCTGCCTCGCCTCAGGCTTGGGTTTCAGTGCACATGAAAGGAGAACAGGCCCGGAGCCCCCAGACTCACCTGTCTGTGTCGTCCACGGGGGTCCCTTTGCCTCCAAGGCCACAGTAGCAGCCATATCCATAATACGAAAAGAAAGCACTCCGTCCCGTGATGAGTTTGACCATCCTCTGAAATTGCCAGAAGCTGCTGTGGGCAGGGGCCATCACTGCCGGCCAGAACACAAGAAAGAAGACACTGGGTAGTGAGAACATGGCAGCCTGGTGACTCGAACCGAGAGCGCTGGCCTCTGGGACACCAAGAGACCCCGAAACATGCCCCCAGACATGGGCATGGCCCGGGATCATCAGCCCCTTTCCTGGGCAAAGGAATAGTATCAGAGAACACTGTGCCCCACAGCCAGTTTCTTGCCAGCCCAGGACGAGAACCCAGCTTCCATGATGTTCGAGACATTACCATCAACCATGTGTCCCCCCAGAGCACCCCCCACCCCGCCAAGTGGAAGACCACCACCCCAGACAGAAACACCCTTGGGTCTCATGCGACATTAATGGGAAAATTTAAAACCAGAGATGCCGGTTCCTACTAATATCCTCAGGCATGTACAATCTCTTCAGAAGCAGAAAAGATGCCCTCAATCTTATTTTTTTTAATGGCAAATATACAGGGACCCAGCAATTTTTACTTCTACAGAATGTTTACAGAAGTGGGGGTAGAACACACACACACACACACACACACACACACAGGGATATTTGCTGCAGCTTGTCCCTTGTGGTATCAAAAAATTGAACACCACCCACATATCCACTCATAGAGGGAGAGTAACTAAATTGTGTCTTGAAAACATCTACTTTTAATAGCAATCTCTCCGGGATTGAGCAGTGGGATTGAGGAAGTAGGTGGAGAAGAAGATAGACACCATTTATATACTTTTATGCTGTTTGACTTTTTTTTTTTTTTTACAGTGACCATGTAATACTTTGTGACCAAGTAATACTTTTCTATTAAAATGGTCGAAATGAACATGTGGAAAAGCCTAGAAGTGTGTCTACCAAACTCTGAAGAGTGGTTCCCTTAGGGTGTAGGAAAAGGACTAGGGTCTGGGAAGGATGAGAAGTGGCTTCAGCTTGTTATATTCATTTATTTTACTTCTTAATTACCTGCATATATTAATTTTGCAACAAAATAACATAAAAACATGAACTTGGGGAAGAAACACAGAGACAGAGGCGTTTGGAACACATTTCCACATTCCCATGTGAAACTGTGGTTTTCTTGTCCTGAAGCACCACAGAAGGGGTGAGGAAGCCTGGGGTAGGCACTGCTGTCCCCCAGCAGCCCCTCGAGAGAGAGAGGCCAGGCACTGATCTTGTAGAGAGCCACCACAGGGGCTGTGGAAGTGGTCCTCCCTACGTTTCCCCCCACTCCACCCCCGCCGACCCAAGATCTTGAAAACTGTAAATTCCACCCCGGACTAAAGGGAAAATGGGAGCTCCATTTCTGACATTTTGACTTAGAGAACTGACAGCTAAAAGCTGAAACAGACAGAAAAACAGATCTGAAGAAATTTCTATGAATCAAACTCATCCAAGTCAAAGAGTTTTCCAACAAACTCAACACAGTTTGCTAGCAAGTTCTTTCTCACTGTGCAGGGAGGGGTGTGTTATCTGATCTCTTGGTAGCAATGACTTATAATTATCCATTATTCCATAAGTCACCATAAGAGAGCCTCTCTGATGAGAATTAATTGTCCCTAAATTAGCTAGATATACGTCTGCGTTTTTGTTCTGGAATCTACGTGACTTTAAACAAAGACAAAGAAGGAAAGAATAAGAGGCTTCCAAAGGGGATGTGGGGTAAAACAGTAGTCAAGGCCCCCTTTCCTTAGCAAATGGTTAGCAACCTTTGATTTTCTCAACGTTTCATGAGGTCCCAATGCTGGGACCAGCCCATTTTGTAGAAGAAACAGAAGGAGGAGGACTTTGGTGGGCGCCTATTCCACTCCTGATTCTCTTTTGAGTAACACCTGATTTCCCCCCACCCGATACCACATCAGAAGGGGCTGCCCGGAGACATGGACACCCAGATGGAGGACAGAGCCCTGGAGCTCTCCCAGCTCCATACTACTTACGGCAGGAGGCAAAGACCACGAGAACCCCAATGGCCTTCATTCCCGAGGACACCAGGGGGTCGGGGGCAGGGCGATCACACCTTTCTCTGCTCATGAGGGGTCTGCCAGCCCAACTCCTGAAAATAACCAAAATGAGGCGAGGCCATGTGGGTGCCAAACCCCAATCACAGCTCAGGGCTCAGAGCAAAGGGATCTTTTTCAAACCTAATTATCTCTGAATATGATACCCTTTCTGGTATTTAGAACCTAAATATAAAGATACGAAGGGCTCTGTTGTCTGAAGAGTACAAGTGTTTCTTTTCTTTTTCTGGCAATACCGTCCCCTCCTTTTTTCTTTTGAGGAGTCGGTATTTCCACGGTTCCCAAGTTTAAAGGCATCCAGGGTGTCCGTGATGGAAATCCCACTCCGGGAAGTCCAGCCCCGCTAGCACGGTGGGCCCCCATCCGTGTCTTCCTTCCCTCCTTGGAAGGGAAGCTCCTCCTTCAGAGGAGTTTAGCTCCTCTGAACCTGGGCTTCCGCTCCTATCAAGTGAGTCTAAAAGACCTGTCAGTAATTTCAAACATTTATTAAGGAGTTCCTCAATGCCACGTGCTGTTTTCTTCGAGGTCTTTGCGGGCATTCCCTGATTTCATCCTCACAAACTGAGAGACTCTGCTATTGTTTTAGAGACAGAGAGAGTCAGAAGAGCCTTCTCGAACCCACAGAGCCCCCAGCTTCTCAGACTTGGGGGGACCAGTGGAAACGAGGCAGGTAAATCTGCTCGGTACCGAAAATTGCTAGGACAGCGAAACACACCCTTCTTAATATTTGCAGCACTAGGTGTCCTCATATGTGGCTCACTTGCCATAGGACAACAGAGGAGGCTCAGGGACCCCCGTTGTCCCAAGGAGCCTTCCCACCCCCGTTCTGGCACGAGATCTAAGTGCAAGTGGCCTTGATGTGGCCCATCAGGAATCAGGCTCGATCTGATAACAGCAGGACTCGGAGTACAAACAGTAGCTCTGTTGATCCCAGAGAATTTGATAGGCACTGAGCTTTGGCTAGCTTTACTCTCCATGACAAAGTTTCCCGGGAAAACTTCAGAATGAGCTCCCTGCTGCAGGGCCCCGGGGCCAGTGCATCAGGTGTCCTTGCTACCTCTGCCCCTCTCTGGCCTAGTTTTGCTGGAGGATGTAAGGCTCGGCCTGGACCAGGCCTGGTCTCAGCCAGTCTCCGTTCCAAGTGCTGCAGCGAGGTTTTTAAATTAGGTTCCGTCTCTATAGGCTGGCTCCCTTTCCTCTTCTGAGTCTGCAAAAATAACCGTGCGATGGTGTAGTCCAAGAAGAAGGCATGCACGTCTTTTAGAAGAGCAGGTGATGACGCTTTGGAGAGACAAAGAAAGGGACTCGGGTGTGTTACTGGTAATGAAATCAGTGTCTCTCTGTGCGCCAACTCCTCCTTTATGCGTCAGCTTCTCTGAGTGTCAACTTCTCCCCCTGTGTGCCAGCTTCTCCTCCTCTGTCAGCTTTTCCCTCTGTGTGCCAGCTTCTCTCTCTCTGTCAGCTTCTCCCTCTGCTTGCCAGCTTCTCTCTCTCTGTCAGCTTCTCCTTCTCTGTGTCAGCTTCTCCCTGTGTGTCAGCTTCTCCCCCTGTGTGTCAGCTTCTCCCTGTGTGTCAGTTTTTCCCTCTGTGTGCCAGCTTCTCCCTCTCTGTCTGCTTCTCCCTCTGTGTGTCAGCTTTTCCCTCCATATGCCAGCTTCTCTCTCTCTGTCAACCTCCCACCGTGTGTGCAGCTTCTCCTTCTGTGTGTCAGCTTCTCCTTCTCTGTCAGCTTCTCCCTTTATGTGTCAGCTTCTCCCTCTCTCCAATCCGTCTTTGTTCACTTCCCGACAGGTGTCTCTCCTGGGAGCCTCCCGAGAATGCACTTCTCGGTCTCAGAATCTGTGTCCAGGGAGACCAACTTTGTCCCATGTAGAGTGATAAACAGTGAACTCACCTTCAAAAGGAGGAGTTGGAGGGGGCCTTGAGCTACCTTAAATTTGTATTCCACTCCTATTTGCTCCTCCTACAACCCAACAGGTAAAGCCTATCACTTTCCTGTTTGGCAGTTGAGGAAAGCAAGGCTCAGAGAGCAGTGACTCACAGCTACCAAGTGGCAGGACCAGAACTGAACCTCTGGTCCCGACCTCCCAATTCAGCACTCTTTCCACCTCACCAGGATCCCTGCCTAGACCTCTTGCCCGTGTGGCCTTTTGAGGGTGACAGAGTATTTTCACAGACTTCTATTGGCCTCCACGGCTGTGACTGAGGCGAGACGGGCACGGTCCTCTCCTTTGACTGACCGCTTGCGGGTGCTTTGGATTGCACTGAACTGACAGCAGGGGCACAGGGCCGGAGGCCCGGGGACGTGACGAAGGGCGAGAGCATGGTGGGGAGCACAGCACGGGCTCCAGCTCCAGTCTCTAGCGCAGCAGCCAGCGGGTCGGCAGGCGCCGGTGAGCAATGCCCTAAGACCCATCAATTTATCTGATGTAGACAATGCTGAAATGTTGGCTGGCTTTTCTCCCCACAGAGAAAATGAGCAGGAAAGAACCCACAAGCTCCATAATCAAAGCTCATTCTATTTTGCTCACCTCTTTGTTCCCAGTGCCTTCCGGCACACGCAGGGCCTGGCACACACGAGGATGATGGTGAAGATGAGTCACTTTTGTGTCACACTTCCACACCCTGCGAGTCTTCTGAACACTTTGCAGACAGATACTCAGTACATCCTCACAGCCCTCGGCCGGAGAAATACTGCTATCACCTTCATCGTGCGAATGAGAAAGCCAGGCACAGGGAGGTGGGAGATAAATCCATATTTGAGGAACGAATGAAGGAAGGAAGAAATGATCAGAGTCTGATGATGCTTTGAGTTACAGAAACATAAACAAAACTATCCCCTCCCCAGGGCCAGCACGGACTAAGCACTGTTTGTGGATTACCTCCCTTAATTCTCTTCCAAGTCTCCCCTTGTGGCCCAGATGATCAACCCCAGTTTCTAGATGGGAGAACAGAGGCCGGCAGGAGTGAGGGGTTTTGTCCTGCATACTGATGGAGCCAGGACTCGCCCGAGGTGTGTGGACACCAACACTGGCATCCCTAACCCTGAGCCATTCTCCTGCTTCCCTGTAGGGCACTGTGCCCAGGGCTCTACCTACCCAAAACACAGTGAACGTTTTTACTTGAGACACAATTCCAGCAAGGGGTCAGCTTCTTTTTCTCAGACCCAGCAGTGGAACGGGAAGGGAGTTAAATGGTGGCTTTTAGTAGGTGGGCAAGGGAGAGAAGGGAGTGATGAAAATGGTAATGGACCAAGCATGCAAACCTGGAACCACTGAGTGTGGGGACAGATAGTTCTGGCTACAGTAACACAGTTGCACCTGGAGTGTTGTTGACTTCAAGTCGTCGAGAAAAGCCTGCATTGTGTAAGAGATTGAGGTGCAGGGTAAACAGCTCCAGCTTCTCTGTTGGAGAAGAGGGTAGGAGCGGGGCTCCCCCACTTCCTGGAAGAGCCACTGAAAGTTCCTGAAACTTCCCTTCATCACCCGCAAGGTGGAAACAATGAGCCTGCCCCTCCCACGGATTGCCAGCAAGACTGAACAAGTTCCTGAAGTCGAAAGCACTTGGCCAACAGTAGCCAAGGTGAAGTACCATGTTTGCTATGTTCTGCTTAAGAAGACAGGGAAGGAGGCACAACGTGAATGGATGTTTTCTAATAATATGGGGAAACAGTAGAATCTTGCACTTTAAGAGGTGGATTTCACTATTTAGAAACTTCCCTCTTGCAGGTCCTGTTGGGATGCTCAGGCATCAGGACGCATAGTAACTGTGCCAGCGTCTTGGCCTCTCCACCAGGGCACACACCCCATCCTACTTCTGCTTGAAGATTACCCACGGTCTCAATCAACACATCTAATGGGATCGAGGGCAGAATAGTACACTGGGTATAGACTCCAAAATTTGGAAGCTGCTAGTTCAAAAAGAGGCCACCTGCTTTTTTGGGGACAAGCTGCTGAGACACTGAAGCTCTTGTCTTCAGTACGGCCCTGGGGGAGGTCATTTAGACTTCAAACCAGAAATCCTTGGGGGATGCCAAGTGGCAGCCAGCCGGGTCCCTCGGTGGAAAAGCCAGCTGTGGAATCGGCATTGTCTCTTCATTAATTTAACTCATTTGCTGAGCGCCTATCATGAAGTGGGCACCATGCGGGCAAAGCAGGGGACTCAGACACAGGCAAGTTCCTAGCCTCGAGGAGCTCAGGTCCTGCTGACGGAGGGGCACACGGAGGGTGAAACCAACATGATAATGAGCACTAACCCTCCCCAAGCAGTCACACGTTCCCGGCACATGCTAAGACCTTTCCACGTAACATCTGATTTCAAGCCCAACGCACTCCCATTCTTAACCACCTACGTTCTACAGAGTTAGAAACCAAGGTCCAGAGAACACTAATCAGCGACCCAGGTCTCTAGCAAGCTAGCAAGAGGTGGGACCAGGATTTAAACTCAAGCCTGGATTCCAGGGCCCATGCCCACTACCTCACGACCAGTGCAACAGGTGGGTGCAGGTAAAGGTGCCATGTGGGAATGCCGGGCTGGGGGTGGGCTCTGGAGTACGGGGTGGAATCAGCCAGATTGGGGTTCTGGAACAGCTCAGCCACTCAAGAACTTGAGGGACCCCGAGGGTCAGTTGTTTTTTTGTTTGTTTGTTTTGGTTTTGGTTTTGTTTTGTTTTGCAAAGGAGGCCAATGATGCGTTTCTGGAAGAGAGCACTGAAGATCAGAGGAACTGACCTGGTGAGGGCGGGTGGTGCCATCTTGGACATGTTCCAGTGGACCAAAAGGGATCAGCAAAAGCCCATGTGGTTTGGGGTTGAGAATGAGGTGGTCAGGAAAGGCCTTCATGAAAGAGGTGACTTTTTAACAGGGGCCTTAAAGGATCAGTAAATTTGGATTGACTTCGAGGAAGGAAGCAGGGTGGGGAAGGCATGAGTAACGGCCCTGGAGATGAGAAGACCAAAGGCCCGTTTGGGCAATAAGCTGGCTGGAACCCACGGAGGAAGCTGGGGAGTAAGGGAACCACGGCTGGGAAGGAGGGCAACCCCACTTTGAACCTGGCAGAGCAGGTGCCTCTGGCCACGTTTACTGAGAATCCATTTTGCACGCGTGTCAGAGACCAGGCCTTATAGGGCTCGTCTTTTGAAGACATGTTCTTTAAAGAAAGGGGAGACAAAGGTGACAAAGTCAGCGCTCTCTTTAAAGAGCAGGAAGGCACAGCCATTGGTGGATGGGCTCTCTTTCCTTCCCTCCAGCTTCCCCCGGCACTGTGCGTTACATAGCCCTGGGGAGCAAAGGACACGTCCTGCTGAATATTAAACAGACCCCAGGCATCAGCCCCATTTCAGTGCATGCCCACGTAGGGACACACACACACACACACACACACATACACGCACGGTAGGGGGAGAAGCGGATTTGATTTTCCAAAAGATTGCATAATCCTTAGGTGCTATTAAAATAGCTGATGAAGAATCTACTTTAAATCTTTTTTGGGTGGGCGTCAAAGGCCTGAAGAGCATTGCTTTAGATATTTCTGACAGAATCATTTACAAGCAAGAAGCCACCCAGTACAGAGCTGTGAAGCCAACGGCTCCTCAGACCGTCACCTCCTGCACCTCCTTGGGGCCCCAGGTGCCACCCCGGATGTCTAGGGCTGGGCAGGAGGCGACCCCAGCAGGTGGCATGGCCCACCCGCAGCTCCCACAGGTCAGGCACAGCTTTCCTGAGACAGGAGGGAACCTCACTGCTGAAATGATCCCCTCCTCCTGGGGCCCAAAGACCTTCCTGTCAGGGACAGGGGCACATAACCATGTCCAACCCCTGCCCGCCCTTCCATTCTTGGCTCAAACTGTATTTTGAAAACAATCTGATCTATAACTCCTGAAGGGCGTGTGACACGCCTCCTCAACCAGACTGTGACCATCTCAGAGGAGGGTCGCAGTCATGCCCTAGTGCAATCCCATGTCCGTGTGTCTAGGACACACGAGACAGCAGATATCCGGCCACAATGCTAGGATACCCTGGTTCTTTCCTGTGATAATTTGTTTTTTGTCTACTAACATTACCTTCCAATAATATAGTCACGAAATTATTCGTCTGTGTATTCCAAGAGTCTAGAACCGTGCCTGGCACACAATAGTAGTCGTAAGAGCTCCTTCTGAAGCTATGTTAATTCCATTTTGGAAGAAAGCCTTCATCCATTCAAGTTGGGATCTGAAGGCTACGTGGGCATTAGGCAAAGGAAGAGAGGAGGCAAAGTTTGGGGAGGATGGAGAAGACTCTTCCAGGCATCAGGGACAGCAGGAGCAAAGGTCTGGAGTGTATGTGTGTGGCCCTTTGGCAGGGAACTGGCTTCAGGGCCGTTGGAGGAGCAGTAGGTCTTGGACAGAGTCAGAGGACATGTCACCTCCCATTCGAGCAGGAGGGACGGAGGAAAGCAGACAAGTGCGTAGTCTGATGATAGAACACTAACAAGGCTTCCATAGGATGGCTTCTCTTTTGTCTCTGAAGAGGGAAGTAAGGATTCTTCTGCATTGGAGGAGGGGCAGGGGAGAAGGGAGAGGTTTTAGGAGAGAGTACAAGGTTTGAAATAACCACCATAGGAGAAAGGAGACAGAACTGAACTGGGGGAAGTGGGAGGATTTCTGCCTGGGGTTAAGGGTCCAGTAGGTGTTGGAGACCACACCTTTCCATAAACTATGCCAAGGTCTGCGGCTGGTCAAGGTATCTTCAGCCCCTGGGTGTAAGTGGACTGATGGAGTTTCATCAGGTGGGAGGGACGGAGTGGCAGCAGGACAAGGACGTGGGGGATTCTCCAAAGGGAATGGCCTGGGTAAAGGACTGTGGGCTGGTCAGGGCAGGAAACAAGCACGTATGGGGGGCGGGGGCAGTGAGAAAGCCTAGAGGGCAATGGGCTGCAGTTTCCACTTGAAAGACAAATGGGGTGGAGGTGGATGGGGTTGCTGGAAGTACCGGGGTCCTGGTTAGGGGAGGCAAAACAGGGCAGATATAGTTGATCCCAAGGGTCCCGAAGCCGCGGGGAGTGTGGGGCTGGTGTTAAAGACATTGCCCTGAGAAGAGACAAGGCAGAGAGAGGCCCCAACTCAACACAAGCCCTAGAATCAGCCGCTGAGCATGGAGGGTGCCCGGGGAATCAGTCCAGCAGCCTCTCTCCTAACCGGGGACACTGAGAGGGTTGGGGCCTGCCCCCAGGTCACAGCCCACGGTGCTCCCCAACCCCTCCCAGGAGAGGACCCAGGAGGCCCCCCACCCTCGCGACCCTGGGGCGGGCGAGGTGCCCCACCGACCGGAAGCACGTGGCCCCCTCCTGCCCGTTGCCCCGGAGACGCCGGCTGTTTACCAGCCGGACTGAGCCAGGCAACTTCTTCGGGCGGATGGAGCAGCGGCCAGGTGAGCGCGCCCGCTGCCCTGGGACAGGCCGCCCCCCGGGGGTGGGGGTGGGAGGGGGGAACAGGAGGGGTCCCGGGGAGAAGCGGCCACTCCGGGGCAAAGCCAGCCAGCCCAGCCCAGCTCACCGTTGCTGGATGGGACAGCTCCCGGGCTCCGCGGAAGCCGAGGGGGCTGGGAAACCGCCGGGCCATGTGCTCCTGGCTGGGCAGTACAGACTGGGACACGGACAGACCCAAGGGGACCAAAGGACGTCCTGCCCTCGGATCGACCGGAACCAGATCAGAGCCTCCCCCAGACCCATGCGCTTTCACCCAAGGCACTGCTCACTTTCTAGACGTTCTTTCTTGCCCCTCCCCCAAATGTCTGCTTCTGCTGTTCCAGCTCAGCTCCTTTCCTTTTAGAGCTGTCCCTACTTGGAAATAATTAAGCTCTCCTCTTCCTCCTACCCCCTCCCCCACGCTGCTCTAGCAACCATCCCCACTGCCTTTTCCAAACCTTTGATCACTTGGTGGCTTGTGGTCCAATTTCTCCACTCCCCCTTGTAAACGTGGCACTCTGCACTCTGCGTGGGACAGTGCATTCTAATCATTTAGCCGGGGGTAGAACTGGGCATGGTACCAAAGTTTTCTCCTGCTCAGGCCAACTACCATCTCCTGTTGATTCTTCTGAGTGCTTTCATCTTGAAAGCCTCATGGGGAGGGGGGGCGGTGGATTGGGGCTGGGGGGTGGTGGGGTTGTTGGCAGGGGATTGTATTAACTGATAAACATTTTTAAAAGACCAATTCAAATGTATGCATGCTCGGTATATACCAGCAGATGGTACGTGGGTGGGTGTATTTTACTGCATTTGCTGTGGGTTTAGATTTGGGTTGCCAGTGAAAGGGGGTGGTCTGACCCTGTGCTGAGAGGTGGGCTTCTTTGGAAAGCAGGAATATGGCCTCTGCCTTTCCTGTCCAATGTTCTTCCTTTCCAGTCGATTGGACAATTCATCTTAAGCAATGGGTACCTGCCCTTTTGGCAGTTCCCTGGAAACCGTTACTGATGTTTGTTTCCTGACTCCTAGCAGGCCTCTGGGGTGTAGCTATTCTGTTTAAGCAAACAGGCCACTTGCCTATTTGGTTGGTGGCTTGATGGATGCCCACACCAAGATCTTGCCAAATCACTTTGTGGTTGAACGTATGCCAGGCCTCGAGGTGGGGAAATGAGCTAAGCGGGGGGTAGTGATGGGCACTGCCCAAGCCTTCCCGGACCCAGGGGAGTAGACAGGGTTCGGGACCCAAGGTGTAGATACAAAAGCATGGTTGGCCCAGGTCCTTAAACACCTGTTCCCCACCACCACCTCCCCAGCTTCCCCTTTCTATGGGATAGATGCTGGGGAGAGTTGGTGTTCCCTCCATGTAACAGATGGTCCCCGCGCTCGGGAGGAGGCAGTGGGTTATGAAAGCAGGTTCGATGGAACGGTTTTACCTGAAGGAGGTGTTAGTCTCTAAATAACCATGAGTGGGCTTATAGGAATTAGTCATAATTGAGGTTTTTTTCTCTGAGATAGCTCGCAGTCATGTTATCTTATGACCAGGGTGTCTTGAATATGACACCCCCTGAACATGGATAATTATATAGTACCAAAAGGTATAGAAAGTGCATGCACATAGTCAAGTTTTACTGTTAAAAATAATCCAGCAGAGAGCCTGCGAGAACACATGACTTTCCTCATCAAAGTTGTTAAGGAAGAGGTTTCTAAGTTACCAAACTTACTGACAGTTAAACCTTCCTGAGGCATGTGTGGGAGTTAGAAGCCAAGTCTGTGATAATTCTGTAGAAGCTGTGGCAAATTAATAGCCATTGCTGGAGGGGGGAGGGAGGACCGAGAAGGGGAGCTGGTTCCCAAATTGTGCTTATCTTTGGCAGAACAGTTGGACAATCATGACCTTCTCGTGTCACCCTGAGTTAAAGTGCAGAGCTGCTTAATTGCAAGTGAAAGACTTTAGAACTCAGCCAACAGGGGAAAAACCACATTCTTCACAGTTGATCAGAAAACAGATTAAATTAACAAGGAGACAGGCCGGCTTTTTTTCATGCCAAGGAGAAGGTTCCTGAACTCCCAGCAGCCAGATTGGGTGTGAAAACCTAGCGAGAAGTAGAAGATGGGAAGTGTGGAAAGACCCAGTCTGTGGACAGAAGGGAGCAAACATAGAGGCCTTTAAGTTAAGAAAGGGAGGATAGCTTTCGAACTGGCTAGTGCCTGGGGAATATAGGGGAAGACTGTGTCTTGTTTGGGTATGGTTTTAATGGAGAGGAAGAGGATACTTTCTAAAATTTGGCAACATGGGTAAAATTTGGAACATGGGTTCCAATAACATTAGAATGCAAGGCTACAGGGTTGGAATTACATTGCTCAGGACTGTGATGAAGGTAGCTTGGTGTAAGATGGTTTGAGGTAAAGATGCAATTAAAGTGGGACATCAGAAGGCATTTCTTAGGAAAACATGATTTTGCATTTTTTTAAAAGATTTTATTTATTTATTTGTCAGAGAGAGAGAGAGGGAGAGAGAGCGAGCACAGGCAGACAGAATGGCAGGCAGAGGCAGAGGGAGAAGCAGGCTCCCTGACGAGCAAGGAGCCCGATGTGGGACTCGATCCCAGGACACTGGGATCATGACCTGAGCCGAAGGCAGCGGCTTAACCAACTGAGCCACCCAGGCATCCCTGATTTTGCATTTTTAAGCCAAGTTCATGGGCAGTTGAAATCAACCTTCCGGCATTTCTGTGCAGTGGGTGGGTCAGGCACGGGTTCCATGGTTTGCCCTGCTGGTCAGAGGTGGCTAGGAGGAAAGCCACCGAGGGCCTCCTGGGGGAAAAACTCTGCAGCAACAGGTAAGGTTTTTGGACCTAAAATAATAGAAAGCACTAAGCAAACAGAAAACCAAACACAAAAGCAAAAGAACCTTACCTCTTCTTAAGCCTTGACTACACATGCCCCGAGCCCGGTGTTTATGGCCACTTTACGTGATTTCGTATTACCGTCTTCCTGTTGCGGAAAAAGGGACTGACCTTAGAGGTATTTAAATAATGTCTTCAAGGTCATATGGCTAATTCTATAGGTGAGGAAAGGGATGTGTCAGGAAGGTAGATTGACAGTCCCGTGGTTTCTCAGCTAACTCCCGGCCCAGCCTGTAATAGAACCCCAGACTTAGGACATCAGGTCCTGGTTCCTTTGCACTCGGACATGCTGCTCCTTGGGGACTGTGAGGCACTGGGAAATTACCAGAAGGTCTTTAGAGAGCAAGGAGACACCTGGTCAGCCTATGTGGTGGTGGTCAGGATTCCAAGGTGGGGGGAGCCCTAGACGCCCCGCAATGTACGGGAAAGTAGTCACCAGGGCCTGGAAGGGGGGAGGTGGTAACAACCGGGTTAATGAAAGGGCCACCAAGATGGTGAGGGGGGAGAAGGAGACTTGATTTGGCCACTGGGGCCTGCACAGAGAAGTGTCCACGCCTCCTCCTGAGCTTGGGAACCCGGGGCTTCTATGGGACTTTGCTAGCATGCATGAGCACCCCCAGCGGGAGACGCACATACAGAGGCCCTTGCAGGGTTCTCCAGGTAGCTAGGAAGACAGAAAGTGAAGCCCGGTCCTCCAGAACAGGACTGGGAGTCACAAGACCTGGGTTCAAGTCCAGGCTCTGCCGATAGGGGGCTTTGTGAGTAAGGAGCAAGTGTTCTGGGTCCTACACCTGTGGGATGACCTCGTGCCCAGCGTCCCTGTGGAGATGGTCTAAGACCCGGTTTGGTACACGATGGCCCACAGCCAGTTTTGTGTGGCTTGTGGGCTAAGAATTGGTTTTGTACTTTCTAATGGTTGGGGGGGAAATGGAAAGAAGAGGAATCTTTTGTGCCCCGTGAAAATGACATGAAATTCAAATGTCAGTGTCCACAAACGAAGACTCATGCCACACAGCCACCCCGTTCATTCACCTGCTGGCTGTGGTGGCTGCCACATCCCACAGGCAGAGTTGTGGAGTTGTGTGACAGACCCCGTGGCCGGCAAAACTGGAAATATTGGCTATCTGGCCATTTACAGAAAAGGTTTGCTGGCCCCTGGCCTAGAACCTGCGTACCTCCCTGTGAGTTCTGGCCAATGGGCTGAGATCAGCAACGGTGCCCCCTCCCTGACCCCGTAAGAATAAGAATTCACCACCCCCCAAACCAAGTCACTCCCTGGTGCCGACTTTGTTTATTTTCCTCATGGCAATTATTACTCATTGAAAGTATCTCTTTACTGGTGGGCTCGACACCTGTCTCCCGTCACTCTTGGTTCACTGATTTTTCCAAGTGGTTGAAATGACTGAGGTTGTGAAGGAATGTGTGGCACCCGGTGCCCCCCACCCACGCCGGAAATCCAGAGAGGAGCCCCAAACTCCCTGCCAGCTGGCACTGATTCCGGCCCCGGGGGTGATTGGCTTGGAGGCGGGAGTCCCGGGAAGTATAATCCACGGCTTCTCTTCTCTCCTGCTTCCTTAGGGGTCTTGAGAAGCGATGGCCACCGAGGCCCCTGTGAACATAGCCCCCCTTGAACGCAGCACCGCGGGCCACACGGCCGCTGACGGCTTCATCTGGCAGCCAGACTCGGCGAACATGCACGTCCTCAGGCCCAAGTCCGCCAAGGGACGGACGCGGCCGAGCCCGCACAGACCGCAGGGCACAGAGCCGGGTCCTCACCGCGTGCCGGCCTCCCTGCCTCCAGCCATCCCCTGCGAGCCGCCTGGCGGCCAGAGGCCGGGAGCCTGCGCACCCAGTTCTCCAAACCAGGGAGCTCCCGGCGAGATCCCCGAGCTGCTGCAGCAGGTGCCGGCTGGCGCTTCCTCCTCCCTCAATAAATACCCAGTCCTCCCTTCCATCAACAGGAAGAGCCTGGAGGAGGGGTCTGTGGAAACAGTGGTGAAACAGGCCGGCTCCCTGCAGCTGAGCGGCACCGTGAAGACGAGTGAAGAAGAGTCCAGAGCTCCAGCTTCTTCCCCAGAGAGGAAAGTCATCGTCCGGACCAGGAGACAGACCTCCCCCAGGGTGGGGGACCCGGAGGAGCCCTCAGATCGAGAGCCCAGCCTGCTGCTGGCCGTCAGGTCGCCGTCGGGCAGAAGGTTCATTCACCATTTCAGGCCCACCGATGCCTTACAGACAGTTGTCGCTGTGGCCGAGGACAAGAACCAGGCCAGCTACCAGCCCTGCAGCATTGAAACCATGGAAGTGCCCAGGAGACGGTTCTCTGACCTCACCAGATCCCTGCAGGAGTGCAAAATCCTCCACAAGTCGGTGCTGGGCATCTCGCAGGAAGAAGGGGAGGGGGAGCCCTGAGTCCACAGCCCCCTAGCCAGGGTCCTGGGTCTCTGAGCAAGGAGCACGCTTGGCTGCTGTGGCCTTCCGGGCAGCTCAGTCCCAAGTGCTGTGTGAACTTGGGGCGGCTGTGATCCTTGCGACCCATCTTCACAGCCTCTCCTCTGCAAGAGTGAAATTTGCACATGCGCCAAGCACGTTGAGAAGGTTCTCTTCCAGTTGTTAAATTCCCTCCAGCACTGGAGTGAACTGGCAAGTTAACCAGGGCTGTTCCTGAAACCACCGTGACCAGGTCTCCCCCTTCCCTGAGGTCTGGGTCCTTTCTGGAGCACCCGCTTGCCTTTACAAATGAACTCTCCCTCTCTTGAAGCCAGTGGTGTGCCTTTCTGTATTTGATGCAGGATTAAATACTTCCCAGAGAGGATTCAAGTCTGGTAAATAACCAGGGCTCAGGAAATGTCGAACTGGCATTTGTATTTCTTGCAAACATCTTTTAAGAAACAGGCAGTTGACACTATCTTGGAAGCAGCCTCTTTGCTGGGCTTGGGTGGCTAGAGTTTCTTGGGGATTACAGTTTGTGTGATGTGGCTTCAGAGGAGAGAACAGGTCTTTCGCTAATACAAATCCCCCAACACATCAACGTTTCTGAAATAGTCTGGGAGCTGGAAAGCATATAGCTTCCACAACCGTGGATTAGCCAAGTAGCCACTTTTAAATAGAGAGTAAGTAGGTTTGCAAACATCAGTAGCTACTCTCTGCATGCCGCAGTCTTCACAAACTGAGAAAAACCAGTGTACTCTGATTTTCTTCGCTTTTGTCACTCATGGAATCTTTTTGTTTTTAAACCATACGAACATACAAGTCTGTACAAGTTTGCACTGAAGGTGCCATTGGCTTATCAGGGTGTGGAGACGTGGTCTCGGTGTTTCACCTCCTTCCAACAGAGACTCCCTGGAGCGGGGACAGTGGTGTCCCTGTTTTGTGATTTCGGAACCCCAGGGAGGACAAGGGGTCCTCTATCGGGCCTCACTCGGCTGCACCCATGCTGAGAGACCCTGTGCCCACGTGCCTGGCTGACTGGCACGTGGTGCGTCTGAATGCCTTAGCCCAGCCGTGTTGAAGACCACGGGGTCTTGGCTTTCCAACTCTGAAGTGGTGACGTGAACAACTCGCCAGGGTCCTCTCGTGTCGGGAGTTCAGCAAGACCTCCAGCTCTCATCAGGATCCTCTTTGTGGCCAAATCACCATTCAGAGTAGGGGAGCCGGTCCCTCAAGAGCTCTGCCTGCCATCACAGAGCGCTGAGTACCGAGGCGCCCTCCCTGCTCCTGGGTACACAGAGAAGGCAGGAGTTCCAGAAGCCTATCAGCGTGGCAAATGCGCCTTGTACCTAGATAAGGAAGGCGGCTGGAAATGTTACATCCAGCAACTTGATACTCAGCCACGGAGATTAACGCCAACATCGTTTCCTCTAAAGAAGGCTCGCCTTGTCCTTCCACATCCCACACCACCCAGATCACTCAAGAGTGGGTTCTTTCAGAATGTGTGGTCCAATTTCCTAATACCAGCTCAGTTGCAAAGGTCAGCTGGGATTGCTGGACCTTGGGCAGCCCACGCAGGTGGCCACATCTCCCAACCAGCGACCATGGTGGAGGGGACTTGGGTGGGGGGGTCGGTGTCGAGCCTGGTACTCTCAGTACAGGAGCTTTTTACCTCCCACCCAGGACCTGGGTGCATATCCCCCTCTGATCCTAGGAGGCTGGGGGAAGAGCCTTCCTCAAAATCACACCTACTCTGTGGTAAGAATAAAATCCCACCCACCTGGGACTCGGTAATTTCTCCAGGCAGGAAATCTGTAGAAAACTTCAGTGAAACAGAGCATGCTGGAGGGAGCTAGAATCTTCTGCACTTAGGGCTTTGCTGCTGCAATTCAGCTTGGAATTTGGGGGTGGCAAAAAAAAGTGGAAGGCATGAAACATAGAAATATTTTAGGGTATCTTAGGACATGAGAATAGAGCTAGATTTGAGCCACCTTGATAAACTTATTTTTTTTTGGACAAAAGGATGACACAATAAAAATTGATTTGTGTGAAGCCAAGTCGGCGGAGAAACACGCCTTCTGTTTTCACGCACGACTCCGGCCCCTGCGCTCCAGCGGACGGAGGGGCTCACCGACCTCACCTTCTTGGGAAAACACTGAGCTCTGCTGTTAAGTCCAAGTCCCCGTCCCCAGGCACCCCGGGTCCCCACTCTTCCCATAGCTCTTGCTTTCAGGTTACAGGATCGCACCAAGCTCTCTACGGCAAGAGTCTCCTGAATTTCTCCGAAAAATCATTCCAAGTATTCTCCTTTGGAAGTTGGCAAGAGCCGCCTCTCTCACTATCAGAGAGGTGACTTTGCAGGTGGCACTGTTATGTGGGCACCCCGGTCTAATGAGTGGCTTTGGGTGACCGATTTGTAGTCACAGACCTCACTCATTCATTGAACCAGTGGTCAGTGAGGGCCTACCCTGGGTCATACACAGGTGAACGGCATTGGAGTCCCACCAAGGGACCATTGACAAGGAAGAGTAAAACGATCTCGGGAGTTGAGAGCCCGACCCAAGTGAGGGGCTGTAGATTTACCCGTGAAGGATCCTGGAGTGAGGAGGAAACAGGCTGTTGCTGTCTCCCCGCCGCCTTGTGGAAATGCAAAGGCGAGTCCTCCCCACCTTTCTAGCGATAGCACCAGGAAAAGAGTGGTCATTAGGGATGTGAACTTTGGGTAGGACAAAGCTTCAAGACCAGTTTTCCCAGCATCTCCCCTGACACAGTCCAAGAGGTAAATTAGTTCTGGCGGCAGAAGGAACAGCAGGAGACATAAGTGACTCATCATTTAGAATCCAAAAACTTTTCACCAACAGATGGCAGGTGGTTTTAACACAACAGTCCTTGCCCAGAAAGTACCTGGGGATCCAGCCAACAGCCAGCAAGGCAGGGCAGTCCTGATGAAGAGATGTAGGTGAACGTGACCGTGGGCCGGTAGTCACTCCAGAGATCCCGCAGAAATACTCCACAAGTGAAGAAACGTAGACAAGCCTTGAGGTTTCCATTATCATGAAAAACCTTAAAGTCTAGCGACCGATCATTGTCCCAGGCATGCATTACAAAAGGAGGTGTACGGGGAACTAAGTTTCGCTTTTGTCCAAGCACTTTACCACCATTTCGTGTGTGTTTCTCGTGTCAAATAAAACCACACTGCCCCAAGGGGCAAAAAAAAAAAAAAAAAAAGAAAAAGAAAAAGTTTCTCTTTACAGTTTTTTAATAAGTTGAGATAAAAGGGTGCATGGTTTCCTGTAGTCTGAGGTGTATCTCAGACGAGACCTTTATATGGTAAGAGGATCTAGTTTCTTACCTTTTAAACAGAGCTGCAAAGGAAACCAGATGATTCAACTTGAGCCCCCATCTGGAGTCAGTCTGCGAAGCAAGCGCAGGAACATCAGTTTCCGTTGTGCATGAGGCAACACACCCCTGTCAAGTGCAAGGTTTGGACCCCGTTCACCCTCGCCCTGAGCCAGAACCAGCCCAAACCCAGCCAAGGTCAGAAGCCGAGGCGGAGGAGTTGGCGAAATCCAAGCAGAGCGGACTTGGGGTGACTCATCAACACACAAGACAGTAGCTCACGTTGTACAAATAAAATTGGCTGTTTTGTTTTGCGTCTACACTGGTGATACGGCGTTTTCCTTCCCTGGTGAGGGCAGGGTCTGGTAGCCCTCTCTGATGCCCCTCTGTGTTCCTAGACTTTCAAGCCACGGAGGAAGCGGCAACGCTCCCTAGTGATTTGTGCGGAAGATCAAATCTCTGGAGGTATTTTTGGACACACTTGAATCCTATCTCAGGAGGCTGAACCGCGGATAGGACAACTGCTGATGGGTAGGGTTAAGCAAGTCTCGCTCAAAAGGTCTGCTCTGCTGGGGGAGGGGGGATCGCTCTGGGCGCTGTTGTTGAGAGTTGACTGCGGGGGTCGGGGTGGGAGACGGAAGAGCAGCTCTGGCCGTTGCCAGTGACCAGGGGAGAGACAGAGCTAACTTGGGCCAGAACAGCAGCCATAGATAACGTGGGAGGTGTCAGATTCTGGATACATTATCGGTTAAGGGGGGAAGAAAAGGCAAGATAGTTTTGGGGATTCACCCAAGTGGACATCACTTGACCATATCACCACGGGGGGCCGTTCCTGCAAAATCGAGCAGACACATCGGCTGCGAATATGTGCTTGGGCCGGGAGAAAGCACTGACCAGCAAACATATTCGTAGGAAAGAAGTGCGTGAGTGTTTTTGGAGAAGGTGTACAGAGAATCCGAAAGCCACTGATTGCTTTAATTGAGAAGAGATGCAACTAGAAATGTTATTTCACTGAACATCAATGAATCACCATCTAACTCTTGGGGTATGATTCCTGACCAAGGTTTCTTATTCAATTAGTTCCAGTAAAAAAAAAAAAAAAGCATTGTTCATATCCCCTTCCTTCCTTTCCTGCCTGCCTCCATTCTGTTTATTCAAACCCAGTAGCTGACTTGGGATGTATTTCTTGGGAGAGCAAAGAAAACCACTGTCCTCCGACCTAATTAACAAAGCTTCCAAATTTCAAGATTTTTGTACCCACCTGTTTTTGTTTGTTTGTTTGTTTACAATGAGGAGATCTGTGCTTTAAGGCTTGGTCTTTTTGCTTTTTTAAAGATTTTATTTATTTGACAGAGAGATCACAAGTAGGCAGAGAGGCAGGCAGAGAGAGGAGGGGAAGCAGGGTCCCCGCTGAGCAGAGAGCCCGATGCGGGGCTCGATCCCAGGACCCTGAGATCATGACCTGAGCCGAAGGCAGAGGCTTAACCCACTGAGCCACCCAGGCGCCCCGGCCTTGGTCCTTTTTGGGCGCAGCTGAGGGCGGTGCGTTCCGGCATCTGCCCTGTGAGGAAGAGCCAGGTCTGCTCTGGTTGGCGGGTGCCACTGACGGACACCCTGGGTGGGCTCCAGCCCAGCCCACTGGTGCCCAGAGTGGCCAGCCATTCGCCAACAAACCGTGGGAAAATGGCAGCAACTCTCCTGCTGCCAGCTGGGAAGGAGAGTCTGGGAATGACCCGCCGCCCCGCTCCAGCCCTGCATCCAGCTTTGGGACCCTGCAGTGCCCACCTAGACCAGATTTCCGTATACCAAGTCCAGAAGCCTCGGATCTAAACTCTGGAGGGTTTATTAGTTTCCCCAACCCAGCCTGGGCCTCAGCTTGCTCTTTACCTTCTTCTTCTTTTTTTTAAGATTTATTTATTAGAGAGCACACAAGAGGGGGGGTGGGAGGGGCAGAAGGAGAAGCAGACTCCCCGCTGAGCAGGAAGCCCAACACAGGACTCGATCCCAGGATCCCGGGATCAGGACCCGAACCGAAGGCAGACACTTAACAGACTGAGCCACCCAGGGGCCCCACTCTTTGCCTTCTTAATGGAGCTCCCAGCGGGCCCTCGTCTTATTCAAATCATCTGTAACAATTTCGTTCCACAAGTATATACTAAGAACCTATATGCCAGAACAGAGCAGAGTGAAAGTCCCTACCCATATGGAGGTTACACATTAATTAATGTGGGGATACAGAAAAGAACAATAAGGAATAAATAATGCAATGTGGTGGAAACGGATACATGTGATGAAAAACAGAGCAAGGTAAGGGGGATCTGCAGAGCATGGGGGTGGGGTAGAGGTTGAGACATCACGTGGTGGTCAAGGCCAACCTAACTGACAAAGTAGCATCTGGGCAGAGAACTTGCAGAAGGTGAGGGGGTGGGGGTTGGGTGGGAGGAGAAGTGGGGAAACCTTGTTCCTGGCAGAGGGGCTGCAGAGGCCCTAAGAAGTGAGT